TAATACCTCAATTTAAACTTATTTAATTAATTATTTTTATATGAAAAATCAATAAGGAATTAAATTTCAAGAAAATATCAAATCAACAAATACACAAAATTCACATAAAAATCCCAGTGACAATCACACAAAATTATCAAAAAAGAAAGTACAAACCCGACAAACAAGGAATGAGGCATGACAATTTCAAGAATTTACTAAATGGCAACAATTATCCAATTTAATACATAAAAATACCTAAGACTTTAAACCAATAAAATTTGCACATATATCCCCGAGTACGTACTCGTCACCTCGCATACACGACATTCAATCACACAACTTCCACATAAGACTCAATGCCTAAGGGGTAATTTCTCCACTCAAGGTTAGGCTAGATACTTACCTTTTTGAAGTTATGTCGATATTTCAAAATCACCTTCTTGCTTGAATTGACCTCCGAAAAACTCAAATCTATCCAAATTAATTGTATAACTTCATTAAAATTCATCAAAAATAATTCCGGATAATAAAACGTCGACTTAAAATTATATTCTAAAAAGTCAACCAAAGTCAACGCGGGACCCACCTCTCGAAACCCGACGTAATATTCATAAAATCCGAACACCCATTCCGATACGAGCTCAACCATATCGATTTTATTAAATTCCGATAATAATTCGACCTCCAAATCTTAAATTTTTATTTTTGGAAGATTTTACAAAAATCTTGATTTCTTCCGTTTAAATCCAAAATATATGATGAATATAACCATAGAATCATGAAGTATAATCACTTTCGGATATAGAACACTTACCCCAATCCATATGGTGAAAATCACCTCAAATATCGCTTCAATCCGAGCTCCATAGCTCCAAATATATTAAAATTGGTCGAAACCTCGAAATATAGCTACTGCCGAGGTATTTACTATATGCGATCGCACAAAATGCTTCGCGATCGTGAAGCACAATTTTTCTCAGCCCAAAATTTGTCTTTCGCGATCGCGAAGAACAAGTGCCCAGCTCTTCCAGATAGCCTCTAGTATAATGACCATAACATTTCGTACAAAACTCCAAATAATGAATGGTTTGACTTTCTGAAAACTAAACCCCTAGAGCTACAACTTTCATTTTTGTATCATCTCCAAATTCCTTATAGATTGCGAGATATAAGTTTTCAAAGTCGTGTCAGTGCAGTAGAGGTTTGTTCTACGCGATCATGAAATAGCTTCCACGATCGCGATTCACAAGGCCCAAAATTGCTGTTTACTCTTCGCGAACACGACCTAATGTTCCTGATCGCGATGCACACCTCTATGGACAAAAACCAACAATTTAAAATGGCCTAGAAATGGTCCGAAACCACCTCGAAACTCACCCGAGCCCCTCCGGACCTCAACCAAATATACCAACAAGTCCTAGAACATCATACGAACTTAGTCGAAACCTCAAATCACATCAAATAATGCTAAAACCACGAATCACGCCACAATTCAAGCTTAATGAAACTAAGAAATTCCAACTTCTACATCTGATGCCGAAACCTATCGAATCAAGTCTGATTGACCTCAAATTTTGCACACAAGTCATAAATGATATAACAGAGTTGTTCCAATTTCCATAATCGAAATCCGACCTCGTTATCAAAAATTCAACCTTCGATCGAACTCTCCAAAAATTTTCTATTTTCTAACTTTCGCCAAAATGCGTCGAATTGTCCTATAGACTTCCAAATCCAAATCTGGACACACGCCTAAGTCCGAAATCACCAAACGAAGCTACTCACATATTCAAAATTCTATTCCGGAGTCGTTTCCTCAAAAGTCAAACTCCGGTCAACTCTTTTCATTTTAAGCTTCAAAATGAGAATTATTCTTTTAATTAAATTTGGAATCTTCCGAAAACCAAACTCGACCATACACGCGGGTCATAATTGTAACGACCCAGTCGGTCTTTCCGAGATGTCGCCCCGTTTTTCCAATTTCTGATTATTTATGTGTTGTTGAGCTGTGTTGAGTTGTATCGAGTTTTTAGGTTTGGGTTCGGAGTAGTTTTGGAGTGAAATGAGATACTTAGTCTCTTAGTTAGAAAGCTAAATTAGAAAAGTCAATCGGAAGTTGACTTATGAGTAAACGAGTTTGGACTTGGATTTTTATGATTCAGTTAGCTTCGTTGAGTGATTTTAGACTTAGGATGTGTCCAGAATGTAATTTGGAGGTCCGTGGTAGAATTAGGCTTAAATTGGCAAAAGTTAAAAATTTGGCGATTTTGGTTGGCAGTGGAAAATTAGGTATCGAGGTCGGAATAGAATTTCGGAAGTTGGAGTAGGTTCGTAGTGTCATTTATGACGTGTGTGCCAAATTTGAGGTCATTCGGACATGGTTTGATAGGTTTCGGCGTCGTTGGCGAATTTTGGAAGTTTAGAAGTTCTTAGGCTTGAATCCGAGGTTAAATTCGTGTTTTGGTGTCGTTTTGGGCGTTCCGAAGGTTTGACTAAGTTCGGGTAGTGGTATATGACTTGTTTGAATTATTGATTGAGGTCCCGAGAGGCTCGGGATGATTTTGGATGGGTATCGAGGAGTTTGGAAGTTGGAAAATATAGTTAGAGCTGCTGTTCTGGTGTGTCCGCTCCTGCGGATTGGGAACCGCGGGTGCGAGCTTCGCAGGTACGGGCTTGAGGCGCAGGTGCGTAGAGGAACCGTAGGTGCAGCTTGGTCTCCGCATCTGCGATGACCTTAGGTGCGGTAAGGTGACCGCAGAAGCGAAGCCTGGCGAGTTAATGAAAATCCGCAGAAGCAAAAATTATCCGCAGATGCGGAAGCGCAGATGCGCATATGGGGTCGCAGGTGTGGAACCCCTAGGCAGAACCTATATATATCACACTTCGCGAATTTTTGCCCTTTTTCCTCCATTGTTGAACGGGTTTTTGAGCTAGGGCAGTGTTTTTCAAGGGAGAATCACGAGACATCAGTGAGGTAAGTCGCTTGGGTTTATTTACACGCGTTTATGATATTTTTTCACTGATTAGCCATAAAATTAGTAGGGGTTTAGGGTGAAATTGAGGGAGTTAGGGTTTGAGTTTTGGAGAGTTTTAAGTGAGAATTTGAGGGACCAAACGGAGTCTGATTTTAACGAATTTTATATGGTTAGACTCAGGTGAGGATGAGGTTTGTTATTCTGCCATTTTTGACAGGTTTTGAGATGTGGGCCCAGGGGCCGGGTTTTGGCCGATTTCGGATTTTTGTCCTATTTATGTATTTTTTATTGTGGAATTCGATTCTTTAGCCTATGTTGATAGTAGTATTCTGATTTTGGTTAGATTCGGAGCTTTTGGAGACCGAGTCCAGAGACGAGGGTATCCCGGAGTAGGATTTTACGCTGTTAAGGTAAGTAACAGTTTTAACTCTAGCTTTGAGGGTATAAACCCAGAGATTTGACATCACGTGATTTTTTGGAAGTGATACCCACGCTAGGTGATGAGCGTGTGGGTGTGCACCGCGAGGGATTGAGACTTGATCTGTCCCGTGAGGCTGTGAGGCCTAATAGCTATTATCTGTGGTTATGTGTTTATTTGTAGTTGAACTTGTTTGCCTTCATGTTAGAGATCATGCTTAGGCTTTATTCATGCTCACATTATTTACACTCAGTCATAGATATGATTGTATATGTTTACCTCAGTCCCTATTATTTTGCTGATATGCTGTGATAATTGACGTGGGCAGTGTTTCCCTTATTTGTTGATGATGGTGAGGCTAGAGAGGTACATGACTGAGTGAGGCCGAGGGCCTATTGTGAGGTATTTGATTGAGGCACATGAGTTATCCGTGCAGCACGTGAGTTGTCCGTGCAGATCCAGGTATTGATACCATAACGCGTGAGTTGTCCACGTAGCACGTGAGTTGACCGTGCGGATCCAGGGATTGATATTATGGCACGTGAGTTGTCCGTGCAACACGTGAGTTGTCCGTGCTTAGCGCTTGGGCTTTGTGAGCCCCTCCGGAGTCTGTACACACCCCCAGTAAGCGCAGGTACCTATTGAGTTTGAGTGTTGAGTGCTGAGTGCGAGTGTCGAGAGCCGAGTGCTGAGTGATGGAGTGACATTGCTGTGAGGATTCATTGCTTTTGTTGTTGCTGTATTTTACCCGTTAATTTCTTTGTAGCATTTATTGAATTGATAGAATTTACCTATTTATTTCTGCTTATTTTAAATTGTGATAAAGAAATAATTGAATTTTTCTACTTAGCTCGTCACTACAACTCAGTTCCTTAGTTATTTTTGTTACTACTGAGTCGGTTGTACTCATACTACACTCTGTACTTTATGTGCAGATCCAGATGAGTTAGAGTGCGGCGTTCGTTGAGTTCAGGCCGGTTATCATTGGAGTCTGCAAGGTAGCTGCTAGCGTCCGCAGGACCTTGTTACTCCTTTTATCATTTCTTCTTTTGGACTGTATTGACAGTTAGACAGTTTTATTTCTTAGTTCATTGATTGAGACGCTCATGACTTAGTGACACCACGATGTTTGGGACTCATTTCCGTATTTTCTATAATTATATTTAGAGTTGATTTAGTTTATAAAAAATTCAAATGTTGGAAATATTTTATTAAATTATTATAATCGATTTAGTAGTAATATTTTGGGAAATAGGCTTGCCTTGTAACATGATAGGCGCCATCACGACCATGGTTAGATTTTGGGTCGTGACAATAATACATATTAAGAAACTGCTCGAGACCTTAAGTCGCTGAACGGGGCGTTAATTCTTAAAACGACAAGTTGGGTCGTTACATTTCAAAACCTTGCATTCTAGAGGTGCAAAGTTCATACTCTCCATTTCCCCAACACTGAATATTGCCCCCTCCAAAAAAATGTAGTAATAATATTTAATAAAATAAACATAAGATCTAAAATAAAAAACATTTTTTTTCTAGTTATAATCCAACCAAGTAATGCAATTTCATTGCTATTTATTTCTTCAAGTAAACATCATTGAATTAAACACAATATTCATCCGCCAATAAGGAATTCTATATTTGTAATAACAACGAAGACTTGTAATACTTCGTGATTAATGGAGTATTGACCCGAGTTGATCACTACAAATGCATACCCCTTCAACACAAATTGAAAACCCAACTTTACATTTCAGATCACGACGACAGTCTAATGTAGTCTTACACATAATCTTTCCCGTCACCACATCTGAAAATTACAAAACTCATTAGCACCTTAGGAAAAACGTTAGTTATAATAAATTGCTGATATGTGACAAGTAAAAGATGCATAATACTAAAACATTAGGTGCGACGATATATGCTATTAATTATTATCATCAGTTGAAAGAAATGTTTTATAACCTTTTAATTATGTGTCACAAAGTGATTGAATATAAGAAAGATAAAAATAATGAGAGAGATTGCAAGGGAAAGAAGGAGGGACCTTTATTATTGGTGGAATATGTCTTGAGAATTAAACATACGCAATTTCCATCAACACAAGTTGGAATCCCAGAGTCACATGCTATTTGACAATCTTCTCTACACTCACATGTTTCTGTTGTCACCACATCTGAAGATCACAAAACTTGTTGATATCAATGACGACATAAATTTTTGAAGGACCTAGTTACCAACATAAAGGGAAGCCCGTTGCACTAAACTTCCGTTATATGTGGGATCCGAGAAAAAATCGGACCACAAAGATCTATTGTACGCGGCCTAACCTTATATTTTTGCAAGAGACTGTTTCCATGGTTCAACAAGTAAAATGTGCGTCAGGTTAAAACGACCATATATATTACATGCGACTTTACGAGTGATTATACACAAACATTCTAATTTTATTCCCTATAAATATATGGTCTGCAGATTGAAAAGTGCCATTAGGTGCGTCATCAACATAAGCTACTATATCCTAGATATATTATGTTGTTTAAAAGAATTTCGTCGTTTGGAAAAAAAAATCTTTTGTAACGTAACCTTTTAAAATTACATCATCAAAATTTGCTAATGTTATAACTTAATTATGTGTCACTAAGGGTGTTTGGTACGAAGAAAAACATTTTTCAAAAAATATTTTTTAATTTTCTCATGTTTGGTTGGTTTAAATATTTTGGAAAATATTTTCTTTATGAACTCAATTGGAGGAAAATATTTTCCTTATCAAGAGAAGGGAAAACATTTTCCAAAACTNCACCCCCAAACACCCCGCACAAAAAAAGTTTTTTTTAAAAATTTAATTTTCGTAATTTAAAATTTCCTTTTTTTGTAATTATGAAATTTGTGGGTTCGGAAGGTTGTTGGTTCGAAAGTTTATGGCTTCATGTTTATTATATCTAAATTATTTATGAATACTCTTGAGAAATTATTTTTCTTAATTTGCGTACCAAACACTAGAAAATAAATAAGATTACTACTTGTTTTCCAAGAAAATATTTTTCACGGAAAACATTTTCCGTTATACCAAACACACCCNATACCAAACACCGGAAAATGAATAAGATTATTACTTGTTTTTCAAGAAAATATTTTCCGTTATACCAAACACACCCTAAGTGATTGAATATGAGAAAGATAAGAGAGTGAGAGGAACCTGTATGACCGGCAGAATATGTCTTGAGGTCAGCTAAACATACGCACATCCCATCAACACAAGTTGCAAACCCAGATTCACATGATAGGTTACAATCTTCTCTAGTTTGACATGTTTGTTGACATGTTTCTACTGTAACCACATCTGAATATCACAAAACTCGTTAACATGTAGATCATATAATTTTGAAAGGCTTAGATACATAAACTACTGATATGTCACAAGTAAAGGATGCAAGGTGCTTCATGCCAAAACAACCATATATATATTACATGTAACTTTACGAGTGACTGAGATAATGCAAACCCAAAATTGGCGGGTTCAGTGGCTATAAAATTAATTATTATGTATTTATAAAATCTATTTTTTTTTCCACCTCAACATATATGTGAGATCGAAAAGCATTAGGTATGTCCGATTGGATATTTTATTATAGCCTAGATCCACCACGATGGTTGTCTAAGTAAAGGCCATCACCTGAAAGAAACTTTTTATAACTTGTTTATTCAAATTGCAGCTTAAATAAAGTTCACTAAGGTTATAATTTATGCTCGAGTTTTAGGCATATATTAAATGTTAGATTCTCTTGATTTTTTTGTGTATTTAATTTTATATATTTTGACATTTTATAATAAAAATTCTTACTCCGCTACCGATTATATAAATGAACCGGCAGAGAAGGGGAGGGTGAGAGAGAGAGACTGACCGCATAAAATGAGCAAGAAGGAGACTGCAAAAAACAAAGGCATCAAAGTCTTGGCCATCTCGTGTAAAAGAATGTCTTTTCAATTAAACTTTAGAGTGCTTTTTGACCACCACATTATATAATATTTAGTTCATCGAGAACCAGCTAATTTTCTTTCTAAAAAGAAAGTTAATGTAATCCATTCCCAATTAGGAATTTTCTTTTTAAAATTTTAAATCATGAAACTTGGTCAATGGATCAAAGAAATTCTTTGATCAATGGAAGGTAGTCAAAGAAACATGTCTAGCAGTTACAACATTACCATATATATCAAGATTTGATACATCTTGTTAAATGAATCTCCTGTATTGCAATTTATGTTTTGCTTTCATTTCGAGCGAGGGCTGCCCACCTTAATTTTTCAGAAAATTATACTGTGTATTAGATAAAAATTCATGTTTATGTACTATATATATTTGTTGAATTTCCTTAACTTTCTTTGTGTGTTTAATTCTCTATATTCAGAGGCGAAGCTATATTTTAATAAAGGTGGTCAATTGACTACCCTTCATCAAAAATATTATACTGTGTATATATATAAAATATTAAGTTTTCGAGGTATATAACATATATTGAATACTCTTTATCGGAATTTTTTTACTTCTTTCAAATTTAAACACCCTTGAGAAAATTTCTGGTTCGCCGCTGTCTATATTCTACACCCTTTAGTAAAAGGTCTAGCTCCAACACTGTATATAGACATTCTAATTATTAATTGCAAGTATTAAATTGTTTGATTTTGTGTTAACTTCGATTGCGTGGTTAGTATTTACTATTGAGTGTTATCTCTAAGCAAACCCCTTCCTCCCTCTCGCAAATCCTAGAATCTCCAAAGATCAAAAACCTTAACTTCTCTATTCTACGAAACTATTGAATTGAGGTGTAGCTGTGTAACGACTCAGTCGGTCGTTTTGAATATTATAACCCTGTTCTCCCATTTACTGCTCAATTTATGTCTTGTAATTGATTTATGACTTATCGGGTTAGTTGGTTTGGGTCCGGAAGGAATTCAGAATGAAATGAGACACTTAGTCTTATAATTAAAATTTTAAGTTAGAAAAGTGGACCAGATATGGACCTATATGTAAACAACCTCGGATTTGAATTTTGATAATTTCAATAGCTCCGTATGGTGATTTTGGACTTATGAGCATGTCCGAAAAAAAATATTTGGAGGTCCTTAGAAGAAATAGGGTTGAAATGCCAAAATTTGAATTTTTGGGAAGTCTGACCGGGAGTTGACTTTTTGATATCGGGGTCGAAATACGATTCTGAAAACTTTAATAGGTCTGTTATATCATTTATGACTTGTGTGCAAATTTGAGGTCAATAGCTCTATTATATTATAGGTTTCGGCGTTGCTTGCAGAAATGAAAAGTTTCAAAGTTTAATAAGTTTGAATTGGGGCGTAATTCTTGGTTTTAGCGTTGTTTGAGATGATTTGAGGATTCGACTAAGTTCATATGATGTTTTAGGACTTGCTAGTATATTTGGTTGAGGTCCTGAGGACCTCGGATGAGTTTCGGATGGTTAACGGATCAAAGATTGAACTACAACAGCTGCTGCAATTTCCTTATGTTGGAAATTTCTTCTGCCAGAATCAAGCCCAAATAAATCGAGCCCAGATTTGAGGGCCACGATCGAGCCCAGGGTCGAGGGCCACAATCGAAGGCAGGGTCGAGGATAAGGATCGAAGCCACAATCGAACCCAGAGTCGAGGGCCACGATCGAAGGAAGGGTCGAAGACATGATCGAAGGCCAGGGTCGAGGCCCAGGATCGAGGCCCAGGATCGAAGGCCAAGATCGAGGCAGAACCGAGGCAGTGTGGGCAGAATTATAAAGCAGGGACTTCGTCCCATTCGCCATTTTTGACAAATTGGAGCTTGAGAAGAGACGATTTTTGATAGATTTTCAAGGAAAACTTGAGGTAAGTCCCTTGTAATCATTTCTACTCCATAATATTGTATTATCATCGAATGATCCGACTAGATTACATGATTTTGAGGTATAAATTGTAGATTGTAACTTAGAAATTTGGAAATAAGATTTGTAGATTTGAGGGTTGAGTTGAGGTCAGATTTTGGTAAAAATTGGTATGGTTAGACTCATGGTTGAATGGGCTTTCGGATTTTATAATTTTTGTTAGGTTCCGAGACATGGGCCCCACGGGTGATTTTTTAAGGAAAACTTGAGATAAGTCCCTTTTAATCATTTCTACTCCATAATATTGTACTATCATCGAATGATCCGACTAGATTACATGATTTTGAGGTGTAAATCGGAGATTGTAACTTAGAAATTTGGAAATAAGATTTGTAGATTTGAGGGTTGAGTTGAGGTCGGATTTTGATAAAAATTGATATGGTTAGACTCGTGGTTGAATGGGCTTTCGGATTTTATAATTTTTGTTAGGTTCCGAGATGTGGGCCCCACGGGTATTTTTTAGCTAAATTTTGGATTTTTATGAAAAATTAGTATTTTCTTATGAAATTAATTCCAATAAATTTTATTGACGAAAAAGAATTATTTATGACTAGATTCGAGGCATTCGGAAGCCGATTTGTGAGGCAAAGGCATAGCAGAGTAAAGAATTTCACATTTTGAGGTAAGTAACATTGATAAATCTGGTCCCGAGGGTATGAAACCCCGGATTTTGTGTCATATAATTATTTTGGAGGTGACGTACATGCTAGATGACGGCGCGTGTGGGCGTGCACCGAGCGAATTGAGACTTGGTCCGTCCCGTGGAAAACTGTATATTTGAATAATTTATTGTTAGCTATATTCTCTCTATGTGTTGAAGAAATTTGACTACAAATCATGTTAACAATCATGCTTAGGCTATGTGATAGTACTGTTGGGAGCCACAGAGGTCGCGTACTTATTGAATTATTTTCTAATTGCTTCATTATACTCAGTCATGATTTTACTTGTGCATCATACCTCAGTCTTTCTTGATATTTGTTGATTTACTATGTTATTTTTGTTTGGGCTGATCTTTGTGATTTTCGAGAGCCCGAGAGACTAGAGAGGTTGAGGAGTGAGTAAGGTCGAGGGCATGTCGGTAAGGTAAGGATATTATAGCACGTGAGTTGTCCATACAGATTATGGATTTTGGGTTGTAGGATCCCCTACAGAGTCTGTATACCCCCAGTGAGCGCGGGCACCCATTGAGTGTGAGTGCTGAGGGTTGAGAGTCGAGTGATTGAGTTGTTGTGATGAGTTGAGTGACTGTCGCCTGAGAGGCTGTACTTGCTTTGCATTTGATATTACACTTGATTGCTATCTATCGTTGTTTTGAAATCTCTGCAAGATTTTATATCTGGATTACATGAAATTGAACTGTATACAATTTATTTGACTTAAACTGCCGGATTTGGAAGCATGTCTATTCTTTGCTGGAATTACTGAAAATGAACTGTAACTGTGTAGCTCGTCATTATCTTCAGTTCCTTAGTTATTATTGTTACTTACTGAGTTAGTTGTACTCGTACTACACCCTGCACTTTGTGTGCAGATCCAGGTATTTTCGGATATAGCGGGTGCTGATCATTTCGCGCAGTTGACTTTCAGGAGATTTTGAGGTAGCTGTCGTATTCCGCAGACCTTATCTCTCATTCACTATCTCCCTGTTTACTATATTTGGGCTTAAATTATTATAGACCGTATTTTGCAGACTTGTATTCATATTAGATGATCATGTACTCAGTGACACTAGGTTTTGGGGAGTGTTCATGTCAGTATTTGTGAGATTTTGTATTGTATTAAATTATTGGCTTGCCTAGTATCGAGATTATCGGCTTACCTAGTATCGAGATAGGCGCCATCACGACAGGTTGGGATTTTGGGTCGTGACAAGTTGGTATTAGAGCCTAGGTTACATAGGTCTCACGTGTCATGAGCAGGTTTAGTAAAGTCTCGCGGATCGGTACAGAGACGTCTGTACTTATCTTCGAGAGGCTGCAGAACCCTTAGGAAAATTTTACTTTCTTGTATTCTGTCATGCGGATTTGTTGATTCTAGAAACTAAATTTTTGCTATTCTATTCTCTCACAGATGGTGAGGACACGAAATACCGGATCGGACGGTTAGTCACTAGTGCCACCAATTAGAGCCGCGAGAGGCCGGGGCCGTAGTGGAGGCCGGGGTCGAGGTATAGCTCGTACCACAGTTGGACCAGCACCTATAGTACCACCAGTTGCTCCAGCTCAGGAGCAGATTCTGGATATAGCTGAGCCGATAGGATCAGCTCAGGCACCAGCTGTGCCCATTGAGATTCCAGGCCTTTAGGAGACTTTGGCCCAAATATTGGCAGCCTGCGCTGGTCTTGCTCATGTGGTTTCGGCTCAGGCCGCACCTGCTACTTCTCAGGCCGGGGGAGGTACTCAGACCCCTGTTGCCCATACTCCAGATCAGGTAGCACATGAACTTCATATACCGGGAGCACTATCAGCCCAGCCGGTTGCAGCCGCTCTGGCCCCGGTAGTTCCTGTTATGGCAGATGATGAGCAGAGGAGACTTGAGAGATTGAGAGACTTAGACCTCCACCTTTTAGAGATGCTGAGTCAGAGGATGCCCAGGGTTTTCTGGATAAGTGTCAGCAGATGCTTCGGACAACGGGTATTCTACAGACCAGTGGGGTCTCATTCACTACTTTTTAGTTTTCTGGGGATACCATCAGATGGAGGGAGTCTTACGAGAGGTGTAGGCCGGTCGGTGCAGCACTCCTTACCTGGCAGTAGTTCTCCGGTCTATTCCTGGAGAAGTTTGTGCCTCTGTCCCGTAGAGAGGAGCTGCGCAAGTAGTTCGAGTAGCTTCGTCATGGCGATATGTCCGTGACACAGTATGAGATGAGATTTTAAGAATTGGCCCGTCATGATATCTGGTTGATTCCCACAGACAGGGAAAGGATTAGGAGATTCATAGATGGCCTCACGTTTCTGCTACGATTACTCATGACTAGAGAGAGAGTGTCTGGTGCTACTTTTGATGAGGTTGTTAACATTGCTCATCAGATTGAGATGGTTTG